TATATTTACAGTTGTGCATCCATCAACACAATCACATTTATAACCTTTTAATGACCCCAAAAAGAAACTCTGCACTCCTTATCTGTCACCCCCAAACCCCTGTCCTCCCCCCATGCCCAGACTTAGGTAACTGCTAATCCGTTTTTTGTCCCTATGGATTTGGCTATTTCATATAAAAGGAATCATATAATATGTGGCCTTTTGTGTCTTACTTCTTGCACTTAGCAAAATGTTTTCAAGGTTCATCTATGTTGTAGCATGTATCATTACTTCATTATTTTTTATGGCCAAATAATATTCCATTTTATGGATATATCACATTTTGTTTATTCATTCATCAGCTTATAGGCATTTGGGTTGTTTCCACTTTTTGGCTACTATTAATAATGCTGCTATGAACATTTGCTTCCAAGTTTTTGTGCAGACATATATTTTCATTTATCTTGGGAATATACCTAGGAGTAAAATTCCTGGATTATACGGGAATTGTAGGTTTAGCCACTTGAGGAGCTGCCAGACTGTTTTTCAAAGTGGCTGTCCCATCTTACATTCACACAAGCAGGGCATGAGGGTTCCAGTTTCTCCACATCCTTACCCATACTTGTTGTTATTATATTTCTGATTATAGTACTTATAATACTTATATCTAAACTCTCTAGTAAGGTCATCACCAAATATAATTCACAGCAGCATTAGAAAAATCCCTTCAAATACTGAAGTTTTGTAAACTCTAACAGAGCTGTACATACTGCTAAATCCTCAAAGGTGACAATTCATCATACACTATAATGAATACTGGGTGGTAGACATTAAATCTGTATGATTTGGTAGATTTTTTACAAACTAAGATTCCTTTTTACAGTGTCAATAAAACAGATTTTCTTTCTTCATTATTTAGAGTTCTCATCCCTGTGAACATCGCCAACTCAATTCTAAAAAGTTTTAAAAAAGTCAGCTATATTTTATTCACAGAGCAATATGTACCAATGGATGAAAAAGAGAAAAAAGTCAACAAATAAGTAATTCCACTGTATACCCTACTCCAATGATGTTATGAAATTTTAAAAATGAAACTGTGTGCCTGCGACTCTGCTACTCTACAATTTGATTACAGAGCACGTCATAAATTATTGAAGAGAAGGTAGATTTTTTTTCCCCCATATTGACAAATAAATGGTGTTTCACATTCCAGGTCCATCATTTTGCAAGGGAATGGCTCAATTGGTAGCCCCGTAGCTCTCCTGCCTAAGACATTACCTGCATAAACTGAAGAGAGGCCTCGAAATCCTCCACTGGATACATCTTAATTCGAAAGAATTTCATCCCCATTATCAAGCTGATAATGCTTTGAACCACATATGGGCTCTGCTCTTTGTGCCGTAATTCTTTTAGCTCTGCCATAAATTTCTTCTTTACAGCAGGGAACCTAGGAAGAGAACACAAGTGATTTATCAAATAATGGGTAGGAAAGTCACTGCAGTAGGGGACTTCCAGCATCCAGAAGTGATGAGGCCCTTGGAACCAGTTGAGTGCGGTGGCTGCCATTTTGTAAGCATTAGATGTTTGGGATTTGGCAGAGTCCAATTTTCTCCTCTCCCTTCTTAATCTATAAGATGCTGAACCTCTCCTCCTGGCTAGGGAGAAGATCCAGGGTTACTTAGATCCTCTCAAAATGGTCTAGCTCTTCAATTGAGCATGATGAAAAGCTCCATTTCCTCAGGCTTAGAAATTTCCAACATACTAGCAGATCCCGAGGGCCTGAAGTATCAAATTAAGAGTATTAGGGGCCGATCCCGTGGCGCACTCGGGAGAGTGTGGCGCTGGGAGCGCAGCAATGCTCCCGCCGCGGGTTCAGATCCTATATAGGAATGGCTGGTGCGCTCACTGGCTGAGCGCAGTGTGGGCGACACCAC